TGCTTCTAGAAGTGTTCCGAAAAACATACTTTTGGATCGAGTTAAACAAGCATCAAAGCGCTGAAAATTTTAACGTGAATTTTTAGCTCGCTTGATAGCTTATTGTTCTCGTGACGTTCTCGAAACAGTTTCAGGGAAGTACCTATCGCGGGAATCTGCATGTGTGTAATGTTTGACTGTGCGCTCATTGCCCTCACTTGCGCCATTTTGAATTACGAAGAGAGTGACGATCAAGAAGTGAGTGTATCTTGTTAGCACAACAGTAAGAACTTAGTCACTTCAAGACTGCATTATAGGTAGATGTCTTCGAGAGCTTTGAAGATCTTCACGGACGATTGGTACGAGAGGCACAAACACAAACAGTAGCCGAAAATCCGAAGATCCAGATGGAAAAGAGTGTGCAGACCATCTCGCCGGAGGAGCGAAGGGCGGCCAAAGTCAAATTTCATCCACGTCAAAGTGATTGCTGATCTCATCCAGATGACATTATGAAAAGTGTCAAATAAACTGATTTCTTCCTCGTCCTTTACCGGAGAAGTTCAACCAGACGCAGTCTGTTTTAGCACAGAATTGTTCTGTTTGCCCTTTTGTCACTGAATTTCCAAAAAGGTACATCCTTGCACTCTCATAAACCCACGATTGTGCAGGCGAGTGAGTAAGGAGGGTGAACGATATATAGTAGTAGGTTACCTCTTTGTTAGCTAGCGTGGCCCGGGATGAGGTTGCTGTACTGCAATGGTACTGTAAATATACCGTAGACAAGGCCCAAGCACAGAAGCCGGCCATTTTAGTCGATATTATGTGTAGATCACATTGGTACGGACCATCTCTTCTGCAGTTCCAAAGATTCCTACTTTCAAAGGGTATTTTCAAGTTATGAAATGCAATGTAGCATGATTGAGAGGAACTATTATCGCCTTCTCCTTCCCTATCCATCAATGCTTTCGTGTGCTTCAGATGACCACTCATCTCACCATTGCCTTTGCTTTCGCTCAATTAAGTGAGGTGTTGTCAGCTACCTTTCATATTTCATTATGATTATGAATAAAAATTCTTTCACCATTCACATGAATGAACTTCTTTAAAGCATTTTTTGAAGGCAGAAGAATCCTCTACGAACTTGTTGGGTAAACATCTTGAGA